TCTCTGCTACCTTCATCTTCTGGACATGGGAGCCTAAAGCCCATGGATGATGTCAATTTTATATCACCTCCCCTCCAGGCCTCATATTAATCATTTGACACCATTTATCACCCATGTTGCTACATGGTCTTAAACTTTGAACTCCTAAGATTCTCTGAAGCCAAATCTTACGTCAGAGAACAGATTACTTCTCTTCTATACTTGCCCCAGTAATTTGACACTGGCAGCTTGGACAAAGATATATGGTAATATTTCCGAGGCAAATCAGTCTCCAACTGATGCTAATAATGCAGAAGAATCATTTCCTAACCATACGTTTGGAGGTTACTTATGTTACTGGTGGGAGGTAGCAAGTATTCTGTGGAACTAGTCAAGGTGCGGGTAAACTGATCCGGAAACCACGGTTATCACAAAAAAAAGGTTTGGAGGTTTCCTATACTGTATTATTAGAGATAGGTTTTCATCTATTTGACAGCACCAGAAAGTCTATTTAGTATGGATATTGCTTGGGGCTTTGGTGATGTAGGAATAACCATAAAGACAATGGTTTTCTTTTCTGCGCTTGCAAATATACAAGGACTGTTCTGTACCTTCTTCGCAAGAACATACTAACATTGATTATTTAAGGTGCACTGATTATTCAGCAGTTATTTTAGAACACATCAAGTTCTTTCAGCACCACCTCATATGTTACCTAACCTTTAGCTCAGTTTCTCCTTTTTCATAACAACCACAAGTTGAAGCACCTTCTTACCAAACTAGTTTACGTAGTTGGGCCTGTGAAATCATCTGGACCCAGCAATGCACTTTTTGTGCTTAACTGCTAGTTTTGTTGTCTTAAAAGGGTAAAAGTCTCCTCCTTTGTTCCTCGAAAGGAATGCGTAAGGAGTAGTATTGGCAATGGACTTGTGTTTAGTCATTAACCCTCCCTCTAATGATTAATCTCTGACCAGTAACTGCTCTATTACAGAAGCTGTTTGACATTGGCTACCAATCAACTCTTAAACGCTTTAACGTACTTTTTGAAATTCTCAGGGAAGAGTTCTCTTACCCCATTTGTACAACGACAGTGATGTATCATTTAGTGAAACTTCCATGACAATCCGATTCTAGAAAATCTTTTAGGCCTAACTCTCTTCATTAAATCCATTACCCATATATGAGTGAAATATTCTTCTGTTTTTTGCATCTTCTTCTGTGCTTACTAGTGCCTCTGTCGTGTGTGATATGTTGCAAAACGTATCAGATGCCTTGATTTTCTTACCAGATTTCGGTAGACCTTTCAGTAAACTTTTTGTTGCCCATTAAGTATTTTTTTTGAGAGGATATTAATATTGCTTACCATCTATATTAAATGATAAGGTGAAAGACTTATGCCTTACCAAAGTTCAGATGATGCTGGAAGAGCTAAGGCCATTGAGGTTTCACCAATTTGGGTTGTACATTCTTAAAATTTATTCATGGGTTCCAAACCTGAATAAATTCTTTGCTTTTTACCCCATTTCTGTTTCTAGATGCTGTCAACCATCTAGGTGATTTGGGCATGTGGAACTTTCATTAAAATGTTGTTTTGGGCATTAAAACTTGTTTTTTTTTCTTTATGTAATTTTTTGGCTTAATGTCATTAACAAATTTGTATGAGACCTTGCGCAGATATATAAGAAAGTTTCAGTTTGAAATTCATTGCCTTTACAGGGAAATCGCGTGGGTTTCATATGAGTCTATTCTCTTGTTTGCTGATCACTGTTTAAATATATGATGAAATTATCCTTTCTCTGAAGCAGCCATCTGAATGTAATACGTACGCGGACATTGATGCAGTATATAAATGCCTAAAGGAGCAATATGGGGTCAAAGATGAACAGCTAATACTCTATGGTCAATCTGTTGGCAGTGGCCCAACCGTTGATCTTGCATCACGAGTACCCAATTTACGAGCTGTTGTCTTACATAGTCCAATATTGTCCGGTGTAAGAGTTTTGTACCCTGTCAAGCGGACATATTGGTTTGACATTTACAAGGTGAGATACTCTCAATGGTTATCAGTAATTATTTTTCCATCTCCACATATAAAATCTGATTTTGTTATTCCAATTTATTTCAGAATGTTGACAAGATTAGTGCCGTGAATTGTCCTGTTCTGGTCATTCATGTAAGCTTTCCTTCTTTCAAATGTTTAATCCCTCTATTTAATTTTGAATCTCTTTCAAATTCAATATACTTACAAAGACCTTGCAGTGGAGGTTGGTCTGGGGAAGGTGGTGGGGAAGCTATTCTTTTACTGGTTAACACAATTACTGTAGACCTTTCCGCGTTTATAGCGCCCAAAGGTTCTGCCTGTCTTGTGCGTTCAAGAATTAATAGATAATTTCTAAATGAATAGAAGACTCTCAATTGATTAGTCATAGTGTCATAAGGTTGTATAAATGTTCAGTGCAAAAGGCATGCAGCGGGACCACAGGATCTGATCTAGTAGGAGCTTGCCTGTTGGATCCCTGTGAACTGAGTTTGCAATAGGAAGTCCCGAAGAACTTTTACATGCGTGACATAAATTCTTCTGTTGATTATTGGAAATGTGAATAACCTGGTTTTGGATTAATAACAAATACTTATCATATTTGGGGGGGGGGGGG